AAGATGTTTTAATCAGAACCTGAATATATTTCATCAAATCAGTTCTCGATATAATATTTTTCAAGCATATATCACATTACATTCTCTTATAACGTTTCTAATGTAAAATTTGCCATAATAACTCTTTTTGAGAAGCACATTTTGCTTGTAATCTAATATACAGGGTGTCCGCAAAGTATGTATACACTGTTTGATCGTTAATATCTTTCTTCTCAACAAGTCTTTTGCCTTGCGTTGGGCACCGTTTTGTAGAGCTGGCTTCAACTTACAATTAGATTTACAGTATGGAGCGAATCACCGACCGCTCTTCGTTACTGTAGGATTACGGTAGAAACTTGAAACATATGGTGTCAATGTGGAAAAAGCTGCCGTCTCAAAATTTTTCAAAAAAAATGTGAAAACTTGTGTAATAGAGTTTCTATGGACGCTGAGTTCAATATTCAACTATTCAAAAGATTGCGAAGCTTTCTAAGCGGGTAACCGCACTTTTTATGAACATTGAAAAAGTGGCAGCTACCTCTTACCCGGCATAGCTCTTCAATGAAGCATCATAATAAGTTGGGAACCTTACAGTTATAATCAGCAACTCTAACTAGCCTAGTGTAAAAGTTTTCAGGCTGTTTTTCTTCCTGAGGCAAAATATGGCCTTTCATGGCCCAAAACTCTTTGAAGTTTCTACCGTAATCCTACAGTAACGAAGAGAGATGGGTGATTCATTCTATATTTCGAATCTAAGTTGAAGCAAGCTCTACAAAACGGTACCTAAAGCGAGGCAAAAGACTTGTTGGGAAGAAAGATATTAACAATCAAACAGTGTATACATACTTTACGGACACCCTGTGTAGAGAATCGTAAGTGCATTTAAAAAATCATCAGATAGCGGGTAACCGAGCGGGTCCTAAAGCGAGCGCGCCCGCAACCAGCACCTTTGAGAATACTGGTCCACAAGAGCAAATAAATTTTGGCCCCTCACAGAGTGCTTCCCTGCGTTTCAAAGTGTTCGAAAACTTCACTTCGGTTTTATATGTGTGCATGATGTGCATATGCACACTACCGCCACATCTGTAGTGAAACCCACCATTTAGTCGATCCTGTTGCACCATTTTTGAGTAATAACATGTTCTTGAGTAATAACATGTTTTGTTTTTTTCCTTGTTTTTCTATACTAAAAATTGTTGGGATCCAGAAATTGCTCCAAAAGGTTATAATGTAGTCGACTAGTGAACCACTAATTAAACGTGCTTTGCTGCATCCGCGCGCTTCGGGGCCGCACCGCGGTTTCCCGCTGTCTGATATTTTTGAATTGGCGTTACGATTCTTTACATTATAGATTGGCAGATTATGTTCCTGCAACGTTACTCTGAAAGCCCACGCTATTTATTGTTATGCGATTGCACATACATCTATTTCAAAGGTCTAATCAAAGCTGCATGATAATCTATTGAACTGAAACAAATCATTTTTACATCCACATAAAGTTTGCGGAATTCTTAGGCTACCGTAGAGCGCAAAAGAAAAGCGATTGGAACGACCATCGCACATCTCTGTTTGTAGCATTGAAAACATTTCGTAGCCGGTCTCTTTGCCGTAATTAAGAAACGATGGGAATTGTGATTAACTGTGAAGTAGGTTGAAGCAATAGAAGGAAATCATTTACAGCTCAAGGATACCTCTTATGACAACATGGGCTAGCATCGGCAGAATACAAAGCATGCGTCAGCGCTCTTTCGTCCCTATTATTACAGCTATCACAATTACACTGGAGAAATTTTTAGAATCATGTAAAATGATCTAATGCTGAAATTTGTGAAACATTTTTTCTTTTATTTCTTTTCATTTCTTCTATCGGAAAAATGCCATAACTCGGGTAGCAGTGTTTCACTACTGATTTCTATTGAATGCAGAAACGCAGAAAGCTAATTGGTAATTTCAAGCAATGGATTTGAGAGTATTTGAGGCTAAACAGCGCCTTTCAAAGCCGTTTTTTTTAATTTCTAGTAAACTACCTTATTATACAGGAGCTAGTCACTTCACGAAGCTTACCGTAATAATCTTGCAGTAACGACAAGATTAGCCGTCGAAGCAAGTGGGTTTAACACATCGTATATGGCTTTTGTGTTCCTTTCCTGTCGTGTCTTCAGTATGAATATTTTTCTGAGCATTGCAAAGTTTATCGAGAAAAAAAAGCCGTTGGGACCAGTAATGATAGTTTTGTCTGGGAATCATTTGCTTATGACTAGGAGACGTGAAATCGCATTGCTGACATTGTCTTAACAAGTTTGCGTTTGTTCTTCCCTGTTTCAAAGAGTGAATAAATGCGAGACGAGATAAATAACAAGTTAAATCTGCTAAGTACACGATTAGCCTTGTTTGGACAATGTGTGCAATGCGGTCTTGCGTCTTCTGGTCATAGAATGAACGATGTCTTTTATTCAAAAGTTCACTGGTTTTCCTAAATTGTCAACTTTCTTTGTAAATGTTAAATCGATTTTAGAAGTGGGAAAATCAAGCAAAATTAGAGTAACAACACCTTAAAAAGTAAATGATACTGTCTGGCAAAAATATTACCTGGGTTTCTTGAGTAGAAACTAGTTAATAAGCTTCAAGTAAGTATTCGCAAGAGGCAGCTCACATAATCTTCTCATTTCTGATATTTACAATTCTAACCCCTCCCCCGGTACCGTACACATTCCATCGATACGATACTTGGGAGTTTAGAGGTGGATTTCTCGGCCACGAATGAATATTACATGCTGCCGCTTGGGCAGCAGCTCAATTAAACTTTTAATTTTATTTTTCACATAAAAGTACAGGACCAGATCTAACTGCACGGAGCATATCAACGAAATCAAAGCTTATCAATTTTTCTTGAAATCTCTCCAATCGTAACGTCAGCTACAGCAGCAGATGTGTCAGCATGTTTTCATAGCAGCGCAAAAGAAATGCTTGTCTTCGAATGTTGTAATGTGCCTGTCACTAACTACGTTCCCATTCTACAGCTGATGGTTGAACTTGCCGCTCTGATAATTTCTTTTAATCGTTTTGGTAATTTTAGCGAAGAAAAATCGAAAATCGCTTCTAAAGCTTTTTCTTTATCAGTTTACGTCTTGAGATATTGCAATAATGTATTTTGCACTAGGATTCCTTGAAAAGTATGATATTTCCTTGATCTTATGTGTATCGAAGTCTTATATACTGAAGAAGAAAATTGCACTGAAAGGTGACAAATCACATGAGCTTTTTTCAAAACTTCGCAAGACCAATTATGCGTTTCTTAAGCAGAGTGACATCTCAATTTTAAGTCCAACTATCAGAAATCCAAGTTCTTCTCTACAACTTTAGACGATGCTTATGATATTGAATAATATTTTTCTGTTAAACGGACAAAACGCGAAACCACTGATCTATGCCTATTTGTTTGGCCGACATGCTACGAGGCTGTTCGAACATTCAGAATTCTTATCGAAACATTTTTACTTGGGGCTGCCTTTCCTATGAAAAATTCAGAATACATTTTTTATGCTTTGCCTAAGGAGAAGATCAAAAGGAATGTAGTATTATGAATTAGATTGCATCTTAAGTAGAATAATCAGAATTGTGTTAGTTACACGGGAATTCTCTTCTTTACTCTTCAAATTCAAAGAAGCACCACTTCCAGTGCTCACAGATGATTCACTAAAATTTTGCCTACAAAAGAACCACTTCTCCAGTTTGCTCTTTTTTGAACATCCAGTAGTCATTGAGTTTTAACAAAGTTTTTAAGCACTTCCGAACGTTTATTGTTCGCAACAAGGACTCCTCTTCAGTGAAGAATTGTCTTCACATAAAAAACTAAAGTACAGATTTCTGGTTACTCAAGTACATTGAGTCATTGTTCATGTGGGTTTCTCTCTAAATCCGACTGACAAGACTGTGAGTCATACTTGTTTTTTGTGAGCTGGGAGCAAATACGCCCTAGATCCGTTGTCATTACAAAATCGCAGCCATTCAGTCTTTATTTTCATCAAACTGCTTGTTCCTGAATTTGACCAGAAGATATTTACGAGATTACAGCTTACATCTTGCGATAAGGGTTTTTCAATTTGCGAAAGTGGCGATTTGGTCCGGCCAAGATGTTCAGGAGAGAATTCCTTCTTACTATAACCAATTATTTATTTCTGTACTACTATAAAATTAAATTTCTATTCAGATGCTCACCCTGGAGAACAATTTAAAATTCGCTTGAACTTATTTATTTATGAAGAGACGGGAATTTTATTCAAAAAAACTTTGCCTTGAGATGGAAAATAATTCTCACAAAATATCAGAATTAAATTAACATATTATAGTTGGATCTTCTGTTATAGATCTTTCAAAAAAGACCATAACACTCTATTTATAATTAGCAATAGTATTGGTTTTTTAAGTTAGGTAAAAACCTGAAAAATAGTAGGAATTATTAGCAGTTTAGGTCTTGTTTCCATTGTAATTATGACTCAAATGTATCAAGACCTAGCAGCAAAAGCTCTGCTAGAGCTTGAAAAACTGAATTTTTTCTCCACATTTCCCGTTCCCCAATTTTTGAGTTTGGATAAAACTTGTACTTTCTATCTTTATACGCTTAGCATTTTTTTCCAACCAATGAGTCACCTTTCTGCACCTAATAATAACCTAAACCTTTCCTAAATTGGACATTATCAATGCAATGATGTGATGTGCGGAGAAAAACCGCACAAGGTGACCGGTTTCGGATCGTTATTTTTTATCCGTAGCCATTTTCGTACCTGCTCAACCATCCTTCAATTGTATCGTCATCGATTCTGACTCACTCTGTGTTCTTCCGAAGTTCCTGAACAACTGGTGTTTAATCAAAATATAAAGGACATGGAACGAATGTCATTCGACATTTGTTGAGTGATGTTTCTTCTTGTCTCCCGCCCTTCTTTCCACAATTCCGCTGCTGATTCTTGCGCTGATTTCTGCTTATGTTATATAAAAAAGTGTGTATCGTGTGGTTTTACAGAATATGCTGAAGTTATTAGTACTGGCTGCGGTTGTTTGCGTTGTATCGTCGCTTGGCATCGGCCGAACCCAATCGTCTGGTGTGTCCGGCAAGTTGATCTGCGATGGAAAACCAGCTGCTGGTGTCACTGTCAAGCTGTACGATGATGACAGAGGTATGAATTCACGAGGGGTATTACTTAATGGATGTATTATATACAATAGGTTGTCCCATAACATATGTACGTCGTTTCTTTCTTTTCATTCTAAAACGCGCATTCTCACTGAATCTTATGAAAACTTGGAAACCCTTTCAGAAGAATAAAGTAAATTCTACAAAGTGTTACTGAGACAATCGCACGAATCCCGTCTACATAAAGTCTGAAATGAAAATCCTTCAGGAAAGCTCGAAAACTCGATGAAATTCCTGTTCAAAGAACTTTCTATTATTTTGAACAGAACTCTGTTCAAAATAATACAAAGAAATGATGGTTAACTCATACATACTTCTCATCTAGCATTTTATGCCCACTTGCTGTAATTTTTGTAATTTTTAAGGCTAGTGAGAAACAGAATAAGCAAAAAATACGAAAACGAGTATTATGAGTTGCTTAAGCTAAATCTGACATTTCTCAAAAACTATCGCTTGCAGGCTAAAAATTTGTGGTTGTACTTCTAGAGGCTTATGTATAGAAATACTGTGTGGAAAAAGCCCAGCATCGCTTTGAAAAAAAACGTCGAATATATCTCTTTTTCTAGCCCCTGAAAAATCACAGCAACTGTGTGCGTGTGAATGTTAGACGAGCAGCATATATAGCAAATATGTATAGTGAGCAAAAGGCCTTTCGAAATTTTTCAAGCGGACTTTTGATGTTTTCGAGTTTTCGGGCTTTTGAGAGCTTTTAGATGTTCATTTTAAACTTTGGAAAGAACTTTATGTAAATTGAAAACGGACGGAACTTCTAGGACACCTGACACTTCTGATATTTCGCAAGCAAAACCTCTAAAAATTTTGGAAAAGACAACAACAGCAGTATTGTGTGTTGAAAAGGGGACTTCTTATTTGGATAAGAAAGCCGGCAACTGGTCCTACTTGCCTCCCGTCACGATAATCTCATTCTTTCTCATCTTCGTGAAAGAAGGTGGGAGGGTGTTGCAATAACATTGGAATAACAACGTTTTACACTTCCCAGTCAATTGCTCATTTAAGACCAGTGCGTCACCTCTGCTTCGCAGAGGCTCGCACTGGCCCTATTTTCTGTATGCCTTACTTATTCCCGCATAATAATGACACTGAAACTCACCGCGCTATGTAGGCTATCACGAATAATTCGTAAACAACTACTCATTCGTAAAGGGTTTTTCATGTGAGATCGGCATTTTCGCGTGGATAAAATCTTTCCCAGAAGAACAGATGCAAATTAGAATAGGTTTTTGGAATTTTTATGGCTTGGTAGTGGCCGTAAGGACAATAAACATAGTGGGCTACATCTCTGTGCAAAAATCTTCTCAAATGATCAGGTAAAATCTTGAAAAATTGACCGTTTACACAGCCAATGCTTTTTGGCGCTGTCTTCGTAAAGTAGTACACTTTTCATTACTTTTTTAGGCTAACGTCCATGGCTTGCAATAGCTTGTCAAATATATCCTTAACTCTGCAAAATGTAATACTACGGACCCAAATTTGCTGCCAGAAGCCAGATGGATCCGTTTGACGCGAAATTTTCAATGGATCCACTCAACGAATCCTCTCATGCTTTTGCATAGTGAGCTTTCATGCTGGTAGCGTGCGCTATGCAAAATTTGGGCTCAGGACGTTGGCTGAAACACGCTCTACGAATTTCGTGACAGACAGAGATTCACACACACACACACACACACACAGACAAACGTAAACAACCCTTAGCCCGTTATTATAAGTTATGATGTTGGGAGTTGATGGAAAACATAATATGCGCAAAGACAAGTTTGCCGCTTTCTGTACTACGTTTCCAGACTACTTTGCAGTAGAAATATTCCCGCGTTCTACCGCGCTCCATCGCTTTGCTTATAGTTCATCTTTGGATGGGCGGGTTCATCCCATAAGGCGAGGCCCGCCCACATTTTGAAGCTATTTTCTTGATTTGGTGATGTTATGCTTTCGTTGGAGAGATTTTTAGCAGTGTCCAGCCATTGGACCAGCGCTTTCGATTTCTTATACTATCCTTTCAAAAATCGCCGTCTTTGATGCGATCCGCAGAAATACTCTTTACTTAAAAATCAATTGCAATTTTTAAAAAAATTTCAAAAAACATTTAAGAAGTACCAGAAAATAAGATCACATGCTTTGTCAATTTCAAAATTGTGCATATAAAAGCACACATTGTAGGTGTTGACGCTGATGACTTGATGGCATCTGGAAAGACCAACTCAAATGGTGAATTTGAACTTCGCGGCTACACCGAGGAATTCACTCCTATTGACCCCAAACTCAATATTTATCACGATTGCAATGATCTCAAGGTACCCATTTCCAATTTTAATTATTTTCGCTGTTTACATGAATTATTTTAGCCTTGCCAACGAAAATTCACCATCAAGATTCCGGATAGCTATATCACCTCAGGAAAGGTAAGACATTCTCATAAAATTTCTTCTTAATACTTTTGATGGATTTTTGCAAGCGGGCAATTTCTTCCGAAATTTTCTAAGTTCTTGATAACTAAATTCACCATCAATATGACTTCTAGACTCCTAAGAAGATCTACGATGCTGGAACAATTCAGTTATCTGGCGCGTTCAAAGGAGAAGAACGAGATTGCATTAACTAGATTTTTTAGTAGTTTTGCCTGTTTAGAGAAATCAATATTTAGAAAAACTTTACAACAGTATTATAGCAGTACAGTATTCGCATAAAAATTTATTAAATATATACAAATGATAGAAAATGTTAAAACAAGGTTTGTACAAAAGTTGTTGAATTAAAATTGAAAAGCTAACGTGTGAGCCACTAAATCAGTGTCTGGAAGGGACTTGCAGGGCGGGGAACGGGGGGCGGGGGGGGGAGGGGGGGAGGGGGGAGAGGGAGGAGGAGAACTAGGCCCCTTTTTCTAGACAAGTTCAAAATGGTTCCCCACTGACGTCAGAGTGTTTTTCAGACTCCCAAGAAGATCTACGATGCTGGAACGATTCAACTAGCCGGCAAATTCCCAGGAGAAGAACGAGATTGCCTTCACTAAACGTGTTCTTGTAATTTTCTGATACGGTAATTTTTATTCGTGTGTAATTGTATGCATGTATGATAATCGTACTTTATTATAATAAAAACGTAAAAATTGTCAAATTTACAAACGACCAATAACACAGATTGAAATTTCTGTAATGGAAGCAAAAGTAAACAGTTTAAGCCAAAAAAATCAAAGGGGGGGGGTATGCATAAAAATTGGGGAAGAGAGGGGGAGAGAGAGCGGGAGTCGATGCTAAGTGGCACTTTTGCTCCTCAAAAAATCTTTTCCAAGCTAAAGAATGTGCCGCTGCCACTCAGCAAAAGATGATGAGATGGCGCGACATCTCTCTGCGTCTCTTGTTTTCATGTTGTCTCTATGCGATGAGCGTCGACTCCAGACTGCGCCGCGTGGAAGCGCGTTGTGCATTGTCTGCGTTCGTGACTTCACTATAGATGGATAGTGGAGACATTGAAAATGGAATGATGAAAAAAAGCAATTGTAGAAGATTTCAGGAGATTACAAAACTTCAGAAAAATTGAAAATCCGTTGCAAGTACAAAAACAATTAGTTTACAAGTTTTACAAAAAAAAAACAGAGGTAGAAACACAGAGTAGAGGTAAATGGCATTTAACACAACTCCGACAACAGATCTCCTTTTAAGGTCTAATAATTTGGTATCTGACTAGTAGAATTTCAAAATTAAAACAACCCGCAGCAGCAGCGGCTGACTAGAAGGCTTAAAATTGACCAGATTAGCTGACTACAATGCCCGAAAGCACTTGGAATACAGCAAAGCATAAGAGAAAATAGAAAAAAAGGAAAGTGGAAAATTTTTCAACAAAAACAGATGAAAGGCACCAAAGCTACAGATTTCTTGATGATTTCTAAATGACTAGAAATAATAACGGTTTTCCTAAAACGCTAAAAATCATCAAATTCTTGTCTCTACTCCTATCATCGAATTCTAGTCTATACTCCTATTTTCAAGATCTAGAAAAGGAGAAAAAGATTTTTTGTACAAAAATGGAAATTTTGGAGACAAAGCGCTCAAAAAACTCGGCTAGACCTCATCGTTGAAGTAGTCGAAGTTCTCGAACTGAAACGAATTAAAAATCAGACCTGACGCCTGCAGTTACGGTAAGCATACTGTAGTATACTGTACCTCATAATTCTCGCCAAAAGCTTCCATACTTTCTTCGCTGTCCCAGTCAACAATGGATGTGGTGTCGCTGTTATCATCTTTTCTTAATATTTCGTCTAGAGGATTGTACTAAAAATAAAATGTTATTAGGTTGTCCGAAAATTAGTGCCCGTTTTGAATTCCAACCGCAATAAGTCATAGATTTTTCACTTCTAGATAGGTTGCAAAGTACCATTCGATACAGCAAAGCAAGTTCTACAAGATGGCCTTCTTGCTTTTGCAACAGCTCTCACTCACCTCGAGTTTCGAGCCAAAAACTAAAAAGACTGCAGCCCAAAAAAAATCGAAAAAAATCGTAACTCAATTCATAAAATCCTACAAAAATTTTTACTTGCTCACGTAAACACTATCCACATAAAACATCTATATACGCCTCTGCCGCATTTTTTTCTCCGTTAGAAACCAAGAAAACGGAAATTTTCCTGCATTTGCCAAAGTAATGCTGAGCCATCCCCACATAGGTAGTTGTAACCCACAAGCCCTTAGAGGTACATACTTAAATTTTCAGCTCTCTACAAGCTTTTGTCCTCAAGAAATACCGAATATAGCTCTCCCTAGTTAGGTGGTTTGAGCTAAAATTCAAATTTCTCGAGAACTAAAGCTTGCAGAGAGCTGAAAATTTAAGTATGTACCTCTACGGGCTTGTGGTGTACAACTAGCTATGTGGGGATGGCTCAGCATCACTTTGGCAAATGCACGAAAATTCCCGTTTTCTTGGTTTTTAACAGAGAAAAAAATGCGGCAAAGGCGTATGTAGATGTTTTATGTGGATAGTGTTTACGTGAGCAAGTAAGAATTTTTGTAGGATTTTTATGAACTGAGTTACGATTTTTTTCGATTTTTCGGGCTGCTGAGTCTTTTTACTTATTGGCTCGAAACTCGAGGTGGATGAGAGCTGTTACAAAAGCAGGAAGGCCATCTTGTAGAGCTTGCTTTGCTCTATCGAACGGTGCTTTGCAACCGATTTAGAAATGAGAAGTGTATGACTTACTGCGGTTGGAATTCAAAACGGGCATTAATTTCCGGACAACCTAATATTTATGGAATCAAAAGATACCGCATGACAAGAAAGACGATAACGAAAAATTCAATAAAATGCAAAAACTGTCTCTCTTACCCTAAGCGCAAGAACATCTTCAAAATCGATGGATTTGAAAAAATCGTGTTTTCGAAAAGCATCAAATGTGCATAGCCTCTTGTTAAATGAAGGCACTAGCATCTGAAAACATCTTTTATTGAAGCTGAAACTAAAAAATGCTTCAAAAAACCTCGTCGAAAAGTCCGCCCAAATCGTGCTCACATTCTAGGGGAGTACTGTAGTCGACGAACCTAAAAACATGCATAAGAAACGAAAATGTGTTTGCAAAAAACTTTTTGGGGTGTTTTTCTTGATCTACACAGGCGTACCTGAGTTCTTGATGATGAGTTGCGTTAGCATTAGGATAAGGATAGCGGCCAGTGGCAAGAATATGAAGAAGAACAGCTAGTGACCACCAATCCACATAATGTGAATATGGTTTCTCACATGCAACATCGGGTGACATGTACTGAACGTGACTAGTTAAACTTAAAAATTTATTATTTGCCAGTAGCAGTTCCAAAAACCTTTTTTCAAGGAAGGCGGGGTGACGAGCCTCGAATATATAAGGCTGTCACAAAAAGTAAATTCCTTTTCCAAATAATCCAAGCTGTTTTTGTTTTCCTAGTAAACTTAGGGTATCATTTGATAGAGCAGATCAAGCTATACAAAATGGCTGCCAAGGATCGGCCCAAGTCGCAATCCATTTAAACTTTGGAGCCAGGACTGAAGAAAATTTTGTCACCTGAAAACTGGATTTTTTGTGAGAAAAATATGGACCTCCAGCTCGGTCATTAGGCCTTGTGGAAACCGAACAGGAGGTTTTGCATTGGGATATCGCAAACTAGGGAACAGGACTCTTTCAAATTCCTTCAACTCTTTCGTTTGTCGCACAGCCAGATGGCTTAGTCGGCTCCCGAATGAGATAACTTCTTGCAAAAACTCTTTAGAATTTCGCAAAAAGCTAGGCACCATAGACGTTATGCAGACTTTGAACATACTTGACTTCTAAACACTAGATTTCAACTACTCACAAGAACATACGCTAATCTTGCACAAATTTCTAACTGTGGAAACAGTTTGTACGATTGCTACATTTTTGGAACTTTTGAGCAAGTCAGTTTACCAACGATTCGAGCAAATTTGAAGGAATCCATGAATTTTACTTTCATGCGCACTGTGTGGTCTTCTTTTGCTGGATATGTGCGTTAGATTTGCGTTTGTCGTCGCGCTTGGTGATTGATGCCCCATCTTATCACCACTAGTGACTTATGGCACGCAGATACGTGATTGATTCTGCCAGATCTATATGCCTAGTATGGAGATTGAGCCATGCATGTCGAGACAATTTTTTAGAAGGATGTAAGCTAGTTTTTTGAAGAATTTTGTGTTTTGGACAGATGTTTTGCAGTTAACGAGCCTTTTTACAGTCTACCAATCTATTCAAGGGTTTGGAAAGTTCTCCTAGCTTGGACAGCCGTTTGAGGAGATCGAAGACCAGTGAGCACTCTGCCTTGAGATCCCCCCTTCTCGCTCGCCCAGGGTCCCCGGCGGATTCGTCCGTCTGGGGTTAAGTTGGTCAGCCAAGCCCTGGTGATTGCTTACATTCCTCTGCGTTCGGGTAAGGGAAAAGGATTTCGGTGGAGTTCCACTCACTTCTTGGAGATGGAGAGCGACCTTAATCATCCAGCAAGGGACGAAGTGATCCAATCCCACCCTGTGTTCTTTTTTTGTTTTTTTTTGTTCTTCCTTGTGGCACACTCTTGTGTATTATATAAATAAATAAATAAATAAATTATACAGGAGACACATAGTAGTGTTCATATTACTGGATTTTTACCGCGCATAGAAAGCGAGAAAAAATGGTCCAAAATTCGGCCTTCAGCCTCTCCCAAGCCCAAAAATTCCGCCTCCAACCCCTCCCACATATGACATTGTACGACAAGCCTTCTTTACCCTTGTAAGTGCTCTTATAATTGAGAAAAACGAAGTTTTACATGAAAAACAAGAAAATGGTGGGTTGGCATTTTCAGACCACTTGTTTCCCATTTCTGAGCCCCAGAAAAAATCATCGAATACAGTTTTAGGTGCTATTGTAATGCGTCTACTGTTTAAAGACCAGGTTAGAAGTCCCTAGGGATTTTCTAAAAGGGGATCCGAATCTTAGGATAGTTGAAAAATTTGGTTTTTGGCTCTAGAAATTATAGTCTGCCCCAATCCCAATCAGGCCAAAATTGGCATGGCGGGAGCCCGCGCCGCTAGGTCTTCGCGTTCACGCCCACGGTCTGCTTCTCTGCTCTCTCTTCAATCCTTTTGCTTTCTCCGAAAGCGCGCATATGCAGCGCAGACCACTAGCGCTGCGAGCGCGCAAACTTGCGCCGGCGGTTCAGCCTGATCCCAATTGGAGCAGACTGTACCTCGACTAGACTTAGGTGGATATTTGGTGGTCCTTTTGTTGAGCTCACTCCGCTTTATCAAATGGTCCCTAAGTGTAAGAAAAACAAAACAGCTCACTTTATAAATGGAGTTCACTTTTGGGACAACCTATTAACATTATCGCAACGCTCATTTGTACTTCAAAAATATTTTTGCGAAATATTTTGTTATACATATGTAAAAACGCACTATCTGCTTTTATTTTTCTTATTCCTTTAGGCTGTTCTTAGGATTATGCTGCTATTAGTCTCGCAAGCTTATTTTTACTCCGGTAGCAATTTGGTAGAGGGCTCTGTTAGCCAGGAACCGATACTATGAAGACTCTATCTCAATAATCATTGCTCCTATCACTACTTCAATCGAACTCATCTTTCAAAATTCTGCCCATTTGCCCAACATTAGAAGTGTTTGCTAGCATCATTTTATTTCATCTGGCAAAAACTGCTTCACCCTTATGGAGCTCTCCGAAAAAAGTTTGTGCACGTCAAAGAAAATTCCAAGACTGGTCTTGATCCAATGTGCTCGAAAAGCAATTCGTATTTCATAATAAAATTGATGTTTAAATGTCAACAATTCATCAATTACGTATTTTTTGTAGCAAAGCAATAATGAATGGTCCCCTGTGGCGGTAGTACAAAGAGAAAATATATCCGAATATAAGTCCGATAACCTATTACTGTTTATGGTTTATCACATGAGTGTCAGAAAAAGGAACTTGAATTAAGGTAACACTTACCTGTAGAGTCCCACAGATGGTTGCCGTATATTCCCCATTCAAAAGTTGCTTCGATAAACCGAAATCTACGACTCTTACATGGCCCAACGAATCGAGCACAATATTTTCAAGTTTGAGATCCCGATACACAACTCCGTTATTATGCAGAAAATCTGAAAAATCAATATATGATTGAAAATCAAAACGCTTGGTGTGACCGTACCCAGAGCCAATCCCAGTTCAGCACCATAGATTTGAACAGCTCGATTTGGTAAACATCCATGTTCTCGAAATAATGCAAACATATCACCGATTCCGCCAATGGGGTACTGTAACTGTATTCTGTACACTGTATACATTTTATAATGGCAACTTCAATTTGTCTGAGAATAAAAAATACAAACCTGTAAAACAGAGAATAATTTTGTACGAGTTTGCCATGCGATGTATAGACGTGCGATGAATACATGAGAAGGAAGGGATCGCTGAATGAAGATGGACTTACTGAATATCATAGAACTTGGATGATATTGAATGAAAAGGAGAACTGTGCTTGTTACTATAATTTTGTGATATTTCGATTTAGTAGCATCATGAAAATATACAAGTGAAAAGCAGTAAGATGATAATACCACGTCTCAGCACTAATCAAACTAAATGCAAGAAAAATTTAATGTGTTCTCCAGCTCTTTTCAGCTTTTCATGAGTTCTTTTCTATTAGTTCCTACTGAACGTTCAGCTTGTTCAGCTTTTTGTCCGCAAAATTTGTTAAGTCTCCTGTGTAGCCAAAAATCGACTTTCTGTCTATGTGACGTGCAAATATGACGAAAAATTTTGTTATCGAAAATATAAAAAGAGGAAACAAGGAAACGAGTACATAACAACAATAATATAAATTAATAATGGAACAATTATTACCGGTTAAATTCAAAAAAGAAAAATAAGAAGCTGTGAATATCAGCTTACTTATACCACACTAATTTATATGTGCTTAGTGGTAGGAATGTAATATTCTGCTGGACGTAAATGATCCTTATTTTTCAGCACTGTAAACTATTATAGAAAAATGGCAGAAGGGGATGGCAATGTCGCGGCTCAGCGATGCGAGCAGCTCCTCGGAACAACGAGCCGGGAGCGCTGGTTGCCGCACTGCCAGTCGCGCTGCTATTTTCGCGGCTGGACCTCTTCCGCTGGCGCGCTGCCAAGCAGAGGGCTATATATAGCCGCGCCCAGAGCGGCTGTATTCTTCCCCTTGGTTTTCATTGTCTTCTCTCGAGTGTCGTTTATTGATTGAGCTCTCCTTATCCTTGGCAGCGTCTGGCAGCTCCCGCAACAATGTTTTGTGTAAGCGGTCGAGCATGTAGTTGGATTGGGATCGAAGGGTTCGTTTGTGGATTGAGGATCCTAGCAAGTACCATCCGCAGGAGTGAAGAGGTACGTACCGTTCCGTACGGACCAGGCGTCGTGCGGTGGACATGAGAGGAACCCCGAGTATGTTCGTCGAAGAAAGTGTCTTCTGGGAAATCGGTGGCCCGCGGTATCGCGGCTCGTTCCCGCGGTATGGGCTTAGTATTTTTTTGTAGCTTTAGTAGTATATTTAGTTTAGTAGTTTTTGTGTTATTTGAGATAAACTTATGTTACGTATCATCTGTGTAAGATCTCTTGCGTTCTAGTCGCGCTTGTATTTCGTATGTGGGTAGGGGTAGCCGCGACACGGTCGCGCAAGCAGGAGCTCAGCTTGTTCGAGCATTTGTAACATTTTAGGAACACGGGATCGGGTCGTATGTGGCGAGCGGTGAGAGGTGCTGAGCCCCTACGAGCCGCAACAGGCAATTTTGTTGTAGAATTATTTGAAATATTAGGTTGTCTCATAAGTCTTTTCGTATTTGGTTCGTTACCGCCATAAACATTTCTTCGTAAATTTCTCGCGGTAATCAAAGATTAGTAATCGATAAAGCAAAGCAATCTCTACACAATAACTTTCAAACGTTCACACCAACTGTGAACCACACAAAGTTTGAATCCGAAACCTAAAAATATCCAGATGACCAAAAAATTCAAAGAAATCAAGTCTTTGCCCAAAAAAATCCTACAAACTTCCAACTTGTTCCTTTCCACATCAGACATTCAAACATACAATTGTTGTATTTTTCACATTGTTAGAAATCGAGAAAATAAAAATTTGCGTGTTTTCGTAAAGGCTATGCTGGGCTCTTCCTATATAGACATTCATAGTATAAATCTTTATGAGTGCCGATACAAACTCAGCCTTTTAACTGCTTTACTTCTCGAGAAATAGCGCATCAAAACAAAAAATGACATTTTTTGGGTTTTCCGTGGCTTCGGAAAGTTTTGTTTTTTGATTGTAGCCATGGAAGAATTCTGCAAATCTAAACGTAAACGTCTGATATGGGGATTTTACACCTGAGCAAATTAGCCCGTAGAAATTTTCTGGGCTGAGATCGGATTTTTCGGAAATCTGAAAGTTTTTGAATTTTGTCTTCAAACTTCACATGTATCAAACCTTTGTTTTGAAGGTCATTGTAGAGCTTACGTTGCTCTATCAAACAGTTGCTCAAGCTCTAATTTTAAAAAAATAAGGTCAGCTGATTTTCGCCGGAATGAAATGATTCATGAGACAACGTAATATTTTTTTTTTGACTTTTCAAAGGCATTGAGTGATGTTAGTTAATTTGATAATGATAAACATGTTACGGCGATTATATTCATACTGGTACGATCAAGAGAACAGAATCTCTCACCTGAATTGCAACTTCTCGTCGAACCTGCTCAACTGCATGTTTTCCAAGAATTAATGATTTCTGTTGAATTTTCAACGCATATATTCCTCGTGGATTACTCTTTGTCACAACTCGATAAACTCGTCCAAATGAGCCGAATCCGATTTCGTTTGATATCTGCTAACATTATCTTAGCAGGAATGAATGAATCGCTTATATAAGGCCACAGCTCACCGCAAAGCAATTCTCGGTAATTGAAGTTCTTGACGGGAACTCAGGAAGGAATAGAGCTTCTAACCACGGTATTGGAAATTCTTTTCGTTGCAGATTAACATAGCTTTCTAAACATGCAATGACGTGATAGTAATAATAATAGTAATAATAAAAGAAAAAATATCAATACAGTGCTGGACATAATTATACAGCCACTCTAGAAATCGTCGTAATTTTTGTTCTTGTCAATGAATCTGTCTGAAACTTTGCTGTATTGTGCGCATGTCAACCTACCATAACCCCTCAAAACGGCTTTCAGTCTTGTTGAGTTTGAACGGAGAAAAACGAAAAAAATCGAAAAAGCCCTCTTTGAAAGCTGGACAAAATTGTACAGCCACCTGGTTTTTCTAATCACTATCGCATTCGTTGACTCTCAAATTTTGTACAATTACATCCCAAAACATGAAACATTTGCGACACTTACGGCCTGTCCTCCTACTCAAATAGAAGCAATTGCTGCATTTCTTGCTTTTAAAAGCATTAAAAGTCAATCTCCTTCAACAAACAACTGCTTTAAAGAGTTTTCAAGCTCTTGTTCATTCCAAATGATAATCATGGAATCTACTGACCCTTCTGGATAGATGAGGTGAAGAGCGCTTTCGTAAACTCTGCGTAATCGCTGATTTTGACGAACAGACTCCAACCTCACCATAGGGTTGACGCACTTTTGCACCACGAAACTCGATTTTCAAGCGACAGTAAATACTGTAATGTAGCCATTACGACAGCCATACAACAGTGAACTCGTGTGCATGACTGGGAAGAAATTTCGGGACTGAGCACTCTGATTCAGCCGCAGCTGACATTCACTGAATGTTGAGTGGAGCACCCTGTACAATCAAAGCAACTCAGATCACGAGATAAAACCGGAGACGCTTAAAACTTCAAAATCTTAGCTAATCTCATTCATCGGGTGAAATATGACATGAAACACAGACGGAAATAAGGGGATCTGGGGTTATATCGAATCTTCCGCTCGCAGGGAATTTTGTGGAAAGTATTCCAGGTCTAAATCGCTACCGCATCATTAGGAAAAATCTGAAAGTTGTTGCGAAAGCTGCATCCCCGTGTAAACAATGATAAATCAAGTTCAGCACTTTGTGGACATTGCAAACTGAGTTTCGTGGTGCAAAAGTGCGTCAACCCTATGGCGAGGTTGGAGTCTGTTCGTCAAAATCAGCGATTACGCAGAGTTTACGAAAGCGCTCTTCACCTCATCTATCCAGAAGGGTCAGTAGATTCCATGATTATCATTTGGAATGAACAAGAGCTTGAAAACTCTTTAAAGCAGTTGTTTGTTGAAGGAGATTGACTTTTAATGCTTTCAAAAGCAAGAAATGCAGCGATTGCTTCTATTTGAGTAGGAAGACAGGGCATAAGTGTCGCAAATGTTTCTTATTTTGGGATGTAATTGTACAAAAAAAATTTGAGAGTCAACGAATGCGATAGTGATTAGAAAAACCAGGTGGCTGTACAATTTTGTCCAGCTTTCAAAGAGGGCTTTTTCGATTTTTTTTCGTTTTTCTCCGTTCAAGCTCAACAAGACTGGAAGCCGTTTTGAGGGGTTATGGTAGGTTGACATGCGCACAATACAGCAAAGTTTCAGACAGATTCATTGACAAGAACAAAAATTACGACGATTTCTGGAGTGGCTGTATAATTATGTCCAGCACTGTATAGTAAGCAGAAGAACATTAAGAATTATGATATTTCTAAAACTTTCTTTTCTTGTATTCATAAAAGTCTAGAATATCTAGAGTAGTGAAATTTATAAAACTCCTTTTTCTTGTATTCATAAAACTCTTTTTCGTATTTATGATATGGACTCAACTTTGAAGAAAATGGTAAGTAAAAATGAAAATGGAAAGGATCATAAACCCACGGAAGCTAGCAACCGATGCGATACCTTCTCTAGAACCAGCATCATTCCTTCTTCGTTGAATTTCGTCCAGCGATCTACACCGATCTCGCATAGAACCACTGGGTTGCTGCTCTAGAATTGCTTGAAAATTAACGACACGAGAAATTCTCTTTTTTACTAGCCCAAAGTATCCTGTTACTCATTTTCATCCAATTTAACATGATTGGAAAGCGAAGACAAACATTTGTTTGTTGCAATTATATAGTTTGGAATTTGCTTCCATGAATTTGCGATGTGAAAACATAATTTGTATGCTAATCCCGTGCTAGGACACTGTTGACGTGTTACTGTAGAACTACGGTAGAGATAATTTATACCGCCGACGCAAACCGAACTAAATACTTTTCAATGAATAGTTATTAAAAAAATTCAAATTTTTTCAAAGAAATTGCTATTTTTTATGTTGCAATTTTTTTGGTATAGA